ACAAATATATAAAAAAAGTATTAGAAGTTCTTGTTTAATCAATCTAGAAATTTCATAGCCGCACAAGAACTGGAAAAAAAGTCGTGAACAAAAATGATAACCGCCGTATGAGCGCATGTGCGTATGATACTCAAATTAATTTAAAATTTGACCACTAAATCCTAAAAATTTGACATCTGCTAAAGCCTATGGCGGGGTGTAGACGGTATTCTGCACCCACGATCGTCCATGAACAGGGTCTGCATTTTTTCAAGTTTTGCCGCTTTGGGCGTTCTCTAAGATTATGCTTTGCTATACTTAAATTTTCATGATATATGTGGCAGATTATTCCTATACAACAGTATCTTAGTCACATGAATCAATATACGTACATGTATATGGATATAAATGATAAAAAGCGCTGGAACAAGAAGAATTATGCTAAAAAATGATACTAAAGAGTATCTGACATTAATTACATATACATGTCGCAATACTGAAACATATACAGTGTTTATCCTAAAGTATCATATAAGTAATTTATATTTTCACAAAAACGGCGACGAGTTTGCTGTTTTCTTGCATAATAAATGATAAATGATACATGATCACTTATAATAGTTATATATCTATCATTTATAAAAAGATAAGTACATACTTGGATCCATATCAAGGCCTGCAAACAGAGCGTTGGGTTTTTCGTCCTTTCCAAAGATTGCACTTAGTTCGTCTTTGCTGAACTCTCCGTTTCTGTTGAGGTCATACGCCAAGAAACTACAAGGGTCCACATGAAGGGTAACATTAAACCTGGGCTAAAAGAAAGACATCAATTTTCATTTAAACAGTTCATAAAAAAAAAATTTAAAAACAATGAAAAAAACATCATAATAGCTTGCTCAAGTTTAGACGCTAGAACATCCCTTTAACTTTAATCCTTAGAGTATCTTAATAAAACATCCTCTAAAAATTCACATATATTTTAACAAGAAAGTGAAACCTTTCATTTCAGGTAAGCAATGTACACTCATGTATTCGACATAACAATCTGTATAAAACTTCTGTTATATATTCCATGCATCGTAACTTAAACATTGTAACAATACACATTACAACATTATCGACCCTTCCAATACAGAACATGCCACGTCTTAAAAGTCTATATATTAACTTATATAGTTCTTGATTCTTGACAAAAATGAATGAAAGCAACCTTGTTAATTATTATTAATCTAACAGTGCGTTAGAAACATAGCGGATTGGTGTTATTTTAAAAGAAACACACTTTCGTGTATCTTTCATTGTATAAAATATACATTTCATTTCTGCCAGTTGATATAATGATACCCAAAATGAGGTCATCTTAACAATGCTAAGACAACAAAGCTAAATGCGAATAAAATAATAATTTTGTTCCATGAATATTTAAAAGTTTTTAAGTATACTTTTACACAAATGTTTCACAAGGAAACTTAGATATTTTACACATCTTAACATAACTTTAAGTTGAACTTAAGTAAATGAATTTAAAACTAAATTATTAGTTATCTCTTAAAATAAATATTATTGAAAACTAGTAAATTTGCTCTTTCAACTAACTAAATGTACATATTTCGGTAAAGAAAAAATAATCAATGTAAATAGTTTCAGTACCGACTGGGCACTTCTGCGAAATCTGTATTCTATACCAACTTCCGCCTCCCAGTCTCTATCTAAATTCATGCTTCCTCCTCCGTAAACTTCCAAATCACCCCTCTCGTAGGTATATGTGGCACCATATTTGTCACCACGAATTCTAGGGTAAAGGGAATGTCTTTCATCATCATTCGTGTAATGATATCCTTCATCGTCAACATAGTAAGAAAGAATACAAATGTAAATAAATTTTAAGTTAAGAACTTTGATTTACTCACTGATGAATCAAATTTGTAGGAATATGATTAAAACTTAAGCAAATGAAAACAACAAGTAGTCAAATAAATAAATACCCAAATTCTGCTCCATAGGAAGTTATTGCAAATCCCGATTACAATTATAAATAAATTTCTTTGCAATCCCTTCAAAATGACTGATATATCCGTTTCTCAACAAAAGGAAACAAATGAAGGAAACTATATGTGAATGTAATTAGGATAACAACACTTGACGCCGTATTTCCTTTGATATGGCATTTCACAAAACTTTGATGCTTAATTGTTTCGAAAACATCTATCTGTAAAGTGTATTTATGTTTATATTCATAATATAAGAATATACAACCCGCAGTCATTGATTCTTCGCTAATCAATGACATTCCTTCATTCACTGACTCCTGCCCTCCGCATTCCAATTATATTACATTGTAAATTAAATAATTCAATATTATTACAATCGTCTTAAGATTACCTAAAGTACAATTTTTTTTAACAGAAACTGTATAAGATGTCATTTAACTTATATATTTTTGTATAAACTAGTTGCTATGTGAGTTAGAGGTTCACTTGGTTGTTGTCTTAGTATGAGGGCTGAATTGCACGAGCAAGCAATTGATTAAGTGTCACACTTTGCAAAATGAAGAATTCATGTTTCATACACAAACACCTTAACACATTAAATTCATTTTGACTGATATGTAAGTGCTCATCAATGTAATAAATTTATATTGTACTAGTTCATAATGTATCTCTTTAACCATGATAAAATACAAATGAAACACCACCACTACGGTAACCCAAAACACCACAAACAACAACAAAAGCAGCAATAACAAAACAAAAATAAAAGCCAAAAAATAACAGTAATTAAAATATATTGCATCATTAAAAGAAAAAGAAAATAATTAAGGATACGTTTTTTAATTTAATATTAAATATCTAAATACCTTGCCGGTTGGGGTATGTTTTCGTGTTTCAGAGAGAGATGAAATTAACCATTTCAAAAACACTGCATACCTTCACTTCTAGTGCGTCACTGTATAGGTCCTGTGACAAAGTATATCATCAATATTGTTGTCAAAGTGATATTTTGATGTTATTCATAGAAGAACGTATGACCATGAACACGTTGTTGAATAATCGTAACTTGTCAACTGCAAGACATCAAAAGAATATCTATAATATATACACAAATAAAAGTGTTAAATAATGCTAAAAGATTCTTTAACCTATGCTAAAAATTTAAACATAGATATACAAAATAGATAATAAAAGGTGACATGCCTGCATAATTATCAAAACTATTTTGAATTCCTATTTGATTAAAAAGAATATTTTTTAATTCTATTCGTTGAAGATAGATAAATACTAACTATATTGACCACAAAACAATCTTCCAAGATGTGTTATCGTATTTATTAAGTAAACACACTAAAATGTGTCGTTAAAACATCAACATGGGATCAATAACAAAGACAGATAAATGGAATCCCTAAGAACGTCTCAATGGTGAAAATAAGTGTTGCAGGTTCACTGTAGTTTAGCCTGTCCATGGACAAAACTGAAAAGTGCATGGAAATACCCAATGCACCTGTTATAGCAAAATTCAACATCTAAAAGTGAAATTGTTAAATCAAACAAATCAAGCAAACCGAAACCAGGCCTACATCTTTTTTTAGCTTTAGTGTTTTAATTTTATTTTTATAGCGTTTCTTTCTGTTTTCCTTGAAGACTTAACATGGTCTTGATAGTGGTCTTGTTTTGTGGGATGCGTTCATAGAATGCCGCCTTCTTTGTTGGTCTTGTTTTTTTCATATTTTATAAAATAACCAATATTATCAACAATTCAGGTTTTCAAAATTCCTGTGGAGTCATGTTCTGATTTTGTTACCTGCGATGGGTGTTTAGGTAGTAATGGCCCATACTGTGGATGGTGTTCCTTAGAAGAAAGGTAAAAAATATATGTGTGATTCATTCAAATGTTCAAAATTACTATTTATTATTAAGCTAATATAATTCTATAAAAAAAATCCTCATTTAAAGAAATGCAGGTGATTGTTTTATTCTCTGAATTTTCAAGTAACACGATGAAAGAAAAGAACATAACAATATTTAAGATATAAAATCAATTTGAAACGATCTCTTTCTGTATTTTGTATAAAATAATGAAGATGTCATAGCGGTTATATTCATTTTCATACATATCTAGAAACAGTACAAGAGATGCTTGCTCAGTAAACAGGGAGTGGATATCGGCTTCAAGTGGTGATATATGTCCACATGTAAAAGAAATTACTCTTGCAGTAATGTCCATTGAGGAAATAGTAACGGTATGGCTTATCTAATAATATTGGTTCATATCTTTACAAAAATGCTGCTTCTTTCGGTATTTGATAATTCAGTCATTTGGAATTATTGGCTTTGCTACTTTTTCTGCTTTAGTCTTGAGAGATATTGCACAATTCATTTTCTTGAACAAAATTATTCATATGAAAATGAGTTTCCATTTTTTGTTATTTTTAATTTTTGAATGTCGCTGCCTTTGTCCCTTTTAGGGATATTCAGATTATATCTAGTTGGTATTTGTTTCTTTTTAAAAAAAATATGGAGATGAGATGTGACGAATTTTTAACGCGTGCATAAAGTTAGACGTTTTTGTAAACGTGTGATGTAAACATGTCCTTTTTAATAGTATCCCTAAAGTTTTGAGTTCTATGTTGATGTATATGACTACTGGAATTTCTGGGGAAGACAACAGCCTATGTAAAATGTAAAGACAATAAAGCATATAGTTTATTTGCATTTTTAAAAAGATGTATACTCAAATTTGATCGCATGCATATAAATGAAAGATAGTAATGACAATATAACATCAAAAATATATTTCAAGAAATTATTCATCAACAACAAATAACATCATTTACGACAAGTACATCATTTTATGCACATTATAATATGAAATATGTCACTATTGTCAAAAACCAAGTGAATAATCATAAAAAAACATAATTCTATTTCAGCGATTTAAGTATTTTTCCTTTAAAAGGGGAAATAATCAAATAAAAAATTTACAACAGGAAGAGAGGGTGAGTTATTTACCCTTTTCATTTTAAAACCAAAAGAGGAAGTAGAAATACTTAAACAATTCCAACTTTTAATCTTGTCAAACAGAAAGTCAATACCATTTCTTGATTATTTTCACTAAATAGTATCTAATCCAACTTTCAAAGTAAGTTTACAATTTTTATTTAAACACATAATTTCACATTAAAATGAATATATTATTATAATATTATAAGAATATATATTTATTAAGTTTTATAATTTCATTAATTTTACTTTAATAGGGTAAATAATCAAATATGATTTTACAACAGGAAAGAGTGAAATATTTCCCCTTCATATTTTATTCACATTTTATCTTGTTAAACTGATATTCAATACAATTTCTTGATTATTTTCACTAAATATATCGACTCTGAACTTCATTTGCACTAAATATTATCGCCTTCAAAGTAAGTTAAATATTCATCTACAGTAACATAATTAAAATAAATACATTCTTATATAATAAAGTATTGGATGGAATATTATTTACTGTACAGTAATTGGCCGTTTCATCCAATGACATGCGTTACATAGAATCAGTTAAATCACGGTAAGGTTGGATCCCAATAAAACGGAGGTTATGTTTCTTTTTTCATCAACTACATCCAACAATATGGAACAGAATTAATGCATTTATTCTATCTTGCTTGATGATATTGAAACTTGCATTACGCTTGATTTCATCTTGCTTGATGATATTGGAATTTGCATTATGCTTGATTCCATCTTGCTTGATGGCATTGGAACTTGCGTTATGCTTGATTTCATCTTGCTTGATGACATTGAAACTTGCACTATGCTTGATTTCATCTTGCTTTATGACATTAAGCTGCATTTTTTTTCATTTTTTCATTCAAACTTTCGTAGTGACTAATTCTTTCATTGAGTGATAACTATTAAACTTGCACAAGCCATTTATTGTACTGTTTTTGAATATTAAAATGTTAACATCATAAACCTTTATGTATAAGCTACCTTACTTCATGCTCAATACAAACTATTTACATTAGTTCTTTTTTGTATAAATTTTAAGTAGCAGTCATATAAAACCGATTATTTTATTCCCTATTTCCTTTTGTACACGCGTGTCTTATATGATTTATCGCTTGCATGGCGTGATTACTATTAGCTTTCGCTCATTTTCATTATTCAGTGTTTATGCTAAATAAAGCTCGGTGTCTGATGCTTTGTGGATTATGTCTGATCATTATAAACAATGTCTAGTGATTGTGAACTGTTACTGGGTCGAGAACTCTGTTATCGAGATTAACGGAATTTTCAGATTTCGCTTAACATCGGAATTTTCCGTACATAAACTGCGGTGACCATACAACGGTATTCTTTTGCGTATATAACAATACGTACCAGGAACTAACAAGAAAAGCATTGATGCAAAGCATATAAGGGCGTTCAAGCAAAACATGCAGCAAGTGAACATTAACTAGTAGACATCTGATGACCAGATATTCTTATAAACTTTTCAATGGTTACTTGGTTTTAATAAGTAGTGTTTATCATAATATTTATAATATATATGAATGAAATTTTTAAAAACAAATTTCCTTTGTTAACTAATTGAAAATAAGATATTTAAAAACATTTTGAATGAAAACATATTTTATTAGTGAAAAAATATTTACAAAAAATAAGTGGGCGTGGTCATGTACATGTATATTATCCAAGCCACGCACCGATTGCCTGTGCATACGACTAGGGCACACGCCCAAAGAGTTGATTAAACAATATATAAGAGATGTTTGCCACTTTTAGGATGAGTTACAAGAGACATTTATTACATTTTTGTCACATGCTGACCGAATCTTCAAAAACATGCACTTTTCGCCTGTCGCATCGTTTTCTATTTTTTTTCCTTAAAATCGTCCACATACATACACTGTTCCATTGTATACACACCGGTCTCAAATGTCGGTAAGACCGGTGTACACAATGTATACTGTTCGGTATACGCCCTTATGTAAAGGGGACGTAACTTTGTTTACTCCACGTGCCAAATAGCGGGGTCATCCGGAAAATAACGGGATGTACCGACAAAGCGGCACCTGCTGAACTAATGCCGGCTCGCCACGGCGAGCCGGTATTACGTTAGGATTTTACTGAGAAACAACCTAAAACTCTGAATCCAACCAAAAATGTAATCGAAGCTTGGCTTCCAGCTTTCTACAAAATTTATCTGTCAGGGCTGGAATCCAAAATTATTTAGCCAATCAAATTTAATCTTACATAGCGTCAAAAAACCTTCAATTTTCACGCCATTTTTAAAAAGCAGTAAGTATTGCTTTGAGCACAAAGATATAATGATGATTAAAATGTTTGTTTTCATGAATTCTTTTCAATAAATGATATTAACACTGACTTTTGATTTAGCGATATCACCTGTTTTCTCTGTAGTAAGTTTTCGTTTGGTTAATTAACATAAGTGTACATCTGGTTCTGTGCATTTTTTTATTTTTTTTCCGGTCATTTTATCCTTTCCGGTATTTAGGGTTGGGGGGGGGGGAATCCCGGGATAGTATTAGATATATAGGGAAAAGGAATAAACTATATTTGTGTTGATTATTGTCGTTGAATCTTTGTACAGGAGATGGTCATTATACCAAGCCCTCTTACAATATAATTCCCTTTTATGCTCACTATGAGCAAGTTGTGCTCTGGTGAGCAAGTTGTGCTCTGGTGAGCATAAACAGGAATTGGGATCCCTATTCATCTGTTGTCCCTAATGTGTAATTTAGTTTCTCTTTAAATGATGTCTATGAAAGACTGCACATTAACCACACTACAAGAGTCCTCTTTCATAATTGTTCATATTGTTCTACACATAGGTCAAGGACACGTCTTATATAGCAACACATACGCACACCTTTATACCTTATTAATGCCTAAACCTTAAAAATTTTGGCATGTGGTATTGCCTTGTTGACCACTTTAAAATTTTGTTCATGTATCTACATCATATCCATTTGTTTAAAATGTTTCACATACCAAGATGAAGTGGACATAATTTTTATTAAAATGCATAGGGAAAATATGTTTAAGTCTTATTGATATAAATTTCAATGCCTCCAGCTTTAATATTGAATATGTATCAATGCCTTGAGAACTTGTACAAATCAAATGTTAATCATGCCCCATGAATCCCACACCCAAGAGGAGAGTTCTTCAGTAATATATTTCTGTATAGGACTTGTGTCTGTCACCCATTCCAATACTAAATAACATATTAAAACTTAACTTCGTATAAAGAGACATCTTTATGAATTCTACCTATCTAACATTTTTTGGTCAAGGTAAACCGGCCATATTATAGTAAATGTGCATAGACATAGGGACTTCATTCCATCTTCATATATACTCATATTCCTCTTTGTTAAACTGAGAGAACTGGCTTCCATAACTTTATATGTCACTTTTATTTTTATGTTCGCTGAAGTCTCTTCAGCTAACAGAACTGTCATTTTTACATTTAAACACACCCCTGGAAAAAAATTACGAAGCGAGTCGCTACTAGCTTTTTTAAAAGCTAACCTTGTCTTTGCAACTACCGCAAACTGCTTAGTGCATGCTGTAACATGCGACTATAATATTGCTATCGTTGTCATCTTCGTTGCCGATGCGCACTGACCCTGTCTTGCATTATTTTTGTAATCAGTGAATATATTGAATCATTTGAATGTTAAGACACGTCAAATTTGCAAAGTATTGATCAAAATTGTGAAAAAGTGTCGACAATGTAAGTGGCAGATTCATAGCAAATTAAAGGTATTTACAGGAACTTACCATTTTACATTTAGTTATATCAAGAACATCTGAAACACCGAACACAATACGCTGTCCTTAAAAATTGATCCAATTATTATTTTTAACATATAGCATATTAAAATAAGTGAGTTTCATGGTTCAGAAATGAACACATGAAGTTGCAATTACTTGATAGTGCATTCAGTAATTTATATTCAGCAAAACGTAGGTTTCGAGTGCCATAAAGAAGTATGGAAGCAAGCATTATGTAAGTCCAAATATCATCAAGCAAGATGGAATAAATGCACTTATTCGGTTCCATATTACCAGGTCGGTAACGATCAATTCATTTATGAAAGAAGTTAGGTGAGTTTCCCTCTCACATAGGCGTAAAATACAAAAATTAGTTACGGTTTTTAAAGCTAAAAATGGTCTTCTTCCACAATACCTTGAAAACATATTTCCATTGCTAGTTTCAGAAACAACAAATCTTTAAAAAACAACAACAATCACATAACCATAGCTAGCTAGGCGCACCGAAACGTACAACAAACTATTTTAATTAAACTAAATTAATTTATTGAATATTTTTAAATCTAGAATGAAAGAAAAGTTTAAAGCCCCCGTAGTACCTAAACACTTTTTGTTTTTTATAAGATATTTGTCAGTTTTACATGCTCGATTAAGGAACAATTGTAGCAACTTACACGCTGACCTTTTCAAAAATCACTTGAGAGAATGTCCGACTTGTATATGTGGAAACGTTTATGAGGATGCCAAGCACTATCTATTTTGCTGTCCATTATTTAAACCTTATAACTTAATGATGAAAAAAATATTTGCGACTGTCCAAAAATTTATCAAAACTACTGTTCGTTTTTTTGAAACACTTGATATTTTTTTTAAATCGACCGATTGTATTAATCTTTATAGCCTGGTACCATAGATAATTGACAATCACATTTATGATGGACGTTTGCTCCCTTTTACGAATAGTGCTAAATGCTGGATCCTTAAACTTGTCGTTATTATATAAATACATAAATATAGATTTTTCTGCCTTACTTATTTTCTAACATTGTTTTAATCTTTTAGATGTTAATCTGTCTTTATCTTTTTTCTTTAATCGCTTTAAATTTATATGGATACATGTTACACTTTCTCACATAATGCCATCACTGTTGATTAATATATTTTTTATTTGGAGGGCCAATCGCTAATGTTGTAAGAACTTGGCCCCCCTCTTTTGCTATTTGTTATTTCGAAATCAATTTGTTTCTCTATATATGTTTATTAGCTAAAATAGATAGAACTTTATAAACATGTAGATATTGAATTAATGATTTCTTTATCGGTTAAATAGATAAAAAGCTTATATTTTTATTTATATAATTATATTGAGTCTTAAAATTTCATGTATTTTTCTTTTAAAAGGGGAAATAATCAAATATAATTTTACAACAGGAAGAGGAAGTGAGTTATTTCCCCTTCATATTTTCATTCCAAAACCAAAAGAGGAAGTAAAATTAGTATAATCTTGTCAAACGGATATTCAATACAATTTCTTGATTATTTTCACTAAATAGTATCGAATCCGACCTTCAGAGTAAGTTCAATATTTATCTACACATAATTTCACATTAAAATGAATATATTGTTGTATAAGAAAATATTGGATGGATGGAATATTATCTAATTAGTGAGTGTTAAATTGAAGTATCTTCCAAGTAAAGAAAATCTTCTACATCATAATATTTAGTAACAATTTGTGCCAATTTAATTTAAATAATTTAAATAATAAATATTTAAACCTTATAACATAACCAGACTTATCTGTACACTTACATCAATATTTTCACATAAAAAGATAGGAAAATATCAGGACAAATACATGTAGATAAAAGAAACAAACTGAGAGACAGAAATAATTTATACAACATTATCTACCTATATTTTCCTAAAACTTTCATAATATCAAAACTGGCTTTTCTGTTCTGGGACATCAAGGAAGAAGTATGTGACAAAATAAACTTGGTTGCTGACAGAAACAATATATCCTTTTACTTCTATATTCCAGAATGTTTCAAGAACCTGACTACAGAGAAAATCTATCATTGATGTTATCAGAGGTTTTACATGACATTGGTGTCAATGAAAGAATAGTGATGATAAGTAGAATACAAAACATGCTGATGGAGACTATGGACTATATCACAGACAGGTTAAATGATGAAAATGGAACTGTATATTATCTAGGGAGTCGGAGTGAAGGTACAACTACTTTAGGACTAAATTCAGACATTGATGCACTTAACTGTGTAAATGATTTCAATTTAATACAAGACTGGTCAGAGTGGGAACATGGCAAGAAAAACTACTTTATGATACAGGATGAGAACACTACCCCTGGTTACTGTTTCTTACAACTGCTCCGATATGATGAACCTCTTCCTGTCACTTTCATTCCTAATGATGACTATATATCTGATACAAGTGGAAGAATTTTGTTAAAAAACACAATAATGCATGGTGTTATTAAGGGTGCTGTAGATCATGGTCCATCAAATGCTTTAATAGGACAACAAGGAGCATGTGATACAGACTATGTGTTGGCTTATCCTTGTAAATCATGGCCTCAATCAGCATCAGGTTGGTTAGGGAGACAAGGTATAGGAAGATGGCCAACACAAGATATGAGAAGACATGCAACTAGTACTAGATGTTTTGTTGTTCCAACTGGAAGTAAGATCAGTGAATATCCTGAACTTGAATGGAGAATATCTACATCCCTGGCAGAAAGATGTGTTATGTTAAACCTAAATATAACACAAATAAGGTGCTGTGTATTATTGAAAATGATTCTTAAATACTTCCTAAATCCTCAAGCGGAAATTAATATATCAAGTTTTATGTGTAAAACAGTTCTACTACATTGTATAGAAAACACAGAGCCAAGTATATGGAAAGAAAACAATTTATTTACATGTTTAACATACTGCTTATTAGAATTACACAGCTGTGTACAGAATGACAGTTGTTCACATTTCATTATCCAAGAAAACAATTTGATGGCAGGGCAATTTACAGATGAAACAAAACATGAACTTTCAAAATATATAACTGAATTTATACAGAATGATGGGCATGGATTACTTAGAATGGATTTCGATGATCTTGGTCAAAGACTGCAAGTTAAACTGAACATGGTACCACATGGAGGATACAATTTTCGTTCTTCTCTTGAAATATATGAAATAAATTTAAGCTCATTATATCAAAACATTGCAACACATGTAGGTGGATGTAATGTACTTGTTTTAGAACATTTACACAATCAAAACATTAGAAAAATGAAGCAATCTGTTTGTAAACTAATGACCTTCAGTGATAATAGATTACAACATGCTGCATTCAAGTTTCTAGCACCTTTTATTTTTACCACAAATGGATCTGTCATGGCATCATCCAGTATTGGTGAAAATAACCAAGTGTCACCTGAATCATTGCTTTGGCTATCAGCTGGTTTAAACTCAGATATCTCATCTAGCAGACTTAAATTGGCTTCAGTATTCTACAGTACAAGAGATATGGAGAAAGCTGAACTAATTCTGAGGCACACTAAACAACAATATTACTCTTATCCTGTTATACCTATCTGTCGCTGCTGGCAAAAGCCTCCAACACAAGTAACAGCAGAATTCATGAGGGCTTGTATTGAGGAAAGTGACAACAGTATCAACCATCTTACATCATTTTGTGTCAGTTTTATACAGAAAGAAATCAACTGTGTCCCTCATGAACTACAATATGAAATGTTCAGATCTACACAGGATGACATGATACACAGAGAACTTTATCATGACTTTTGGATGGACTGGGCTGTAGTTGATTCTCTACCTTTCCTGTACTTCCTACAATATAAAGTCTATCGTCATCTACAAAGACATCAAGACCAACAACAAGCACTTAATAAACTTATAAGTACCATAGAAATAGATAAAAATCTTGGACATAGAGAAACAGCTCTAAACATTTTAGGGCAATGTATGGAACAAGAAAACAGACCTCAACAAGCATTAAAATGCTACCTGCTTTCTCTTCAACAAAGGGCAAGAAACAATGTAGCAAACGTCCATATATGTAAGCTTCTTTGTAGGGTATTGACTGACCGATAAAACATGTGGTCAAAAGCAGACAGTATAAAGACTTGAATTTCTATTGATCAAAATCAAAATTCTTGCGTGTAGAAATAAACCTTTTTTTCCTGTTATTATTTTTATAGGTTTGTCTAGTCACACTTGTATGTTCATTTTCATTTTCATTAATTAATGACAAAAATTATAAGTAAAATTCAATCATCTGACCTAGACAGTCATGGTCATATCTGAATCATTTAACACGTCGTCCGTTGATCACACGTGTTGTTTTGTCCCCTTAAGAATCAAATCCATACATAAAACAAAATTTTGACAACTTAACCAAAATTCAATAATTTAACCAATAAGGTCAAGCTCTTGCATGAGCCAAGGTCAATTTTCGTATGATTTTGCTTTGTCTGGAGTTAATCCATTCATAAATAAAAAAGTATAAGCTTGTAACAGGAAAAACAAGAATGCATATGTGTTTGTTCAAAACAAATGCACCGAACTCAGATTCTTGTCAGTAATAATTTTTCAGTTATGGACAGAAAAGTTCCTGAAAACATTGTTACTATATACAAATAATTTGAGTCTTGACATTTTGTAGTTGTGAAAATAAAATTGTCGAATCATTGCTATGACTTGTGATGAGGTTGAAAAATATGTAACTTTATCAAACATATTTAAATGCAAGACTTCACCTTGACCCCAGTGACCCCAAACTCCAACAACTTTAAGTATGTTCATTGTAAATATGAGACATTGTTAAAAAATTAAAGGCTGTATAAAAATGTGTAAAAATCTATTGTCAGCACAAGTGGCACTGACCTTGTGACTCGCAGCACTGGACCATCCAAAGCATGTGCGTCCAAATATGAAAAACATCAGTCTATAAATAAAGGCTGCATAAGCCAATGTGAAAAATCTTTCCTTTATTTTGCACCCTTGACCCACTGACCTCATACTCAATCCAAAAGAAGAAGACTATGCAAATATGAAAGACATCTGTCCATTTATAAGTTCTGTATGGGCAAAAGAGTGATAAATAATTTTCAGCACTGGTGAACTGACCCCAAACTAAATGGACCTTTCCGGTTTTTCGTAGCCGAACATTTAGCTTCATCTTTTCCATTCATAGCTAGGTCAACTGCTCACAAACAGTTTCACAAACATAGCCATGTGTTCTTTTGTACAAACCAGGTCAACCAGTGACTATGCATAATCTCAGTGTAGCAATTGGATAACAAGTTAGCAATTTACATAAAACTGTTAATACTGGAAAGGTCCATTACCAATGCAAATTATCATCCTTTCAAATATGAAAAAAAAAACAAACAGAAGTCAAAAGATAAGGCATGTTTAAGCAATTGTGTAGAAATCTATTATTGACATCCTTGACATTGACCCACTGACCCCTAACTCATCAAATAACTAATCAAAAGGAAGAATACCATGCAAGTATCAAATAAGAAAGACATCTGTCCATAAATAAATGTTATATTTGCAAAAGTGTTAACATCTTTTTTAAGCACTGGTGACCTTGACCCAACTAATCCCTTACCGAATTTAAAGGAAGAAGATCCCATCAAATACAAGAGGGACAAGATGGTCCATATATTGCTCATCTGAATATCAATACTATCCATTACCAGGAACAAGTAATATGAAACAGATATAGATGAAAACGGATATAAAATCTAAATCATAAACTGATATCACAAAGTATATATTTGTATCTGAAATAGTGAAGTGAAGATACATTATTGGTTACTATTTGCTAAGGGAAATCAACAGTTACATAAGAAGTAACTGGTTGTCATACATTGAATTCAGTACCTGCTATGAAATTCAAAGGTAGATTCACTCGTTGCTATGGAAAGTTAATGTTTGCTATGCAAGTCACTCCGGGTTGCTAGGAAACTGAGCCTGAGCTCTTGTAGATTTAAAGGAGAGGTTTTTACAACAATATACAAATAAAAAATCTAGGTTCCCTGGGGCGGAGCCAATTTTGACCGGCGGACTATTATTTGAATTTTTACAACAGGTCCAGCAGACCATTTTACATAGCAAATATCTAACCTTAATTCTTTATAGAATGATGAAAACAAGGTTTTTGTTGTTGTTTCCAATCTCTGGCCGGTGATAACCATTTAAGTATAATAGCATGGCTTGTCGCCATACTGCTGATAGTAGCACCCTTGAATGTTTTATGATCCTATCTTGTTTCAAGAGCCTGAGGATTCAGAGAACTGTTGAGATATAATGAAAACTTAAAATTTTCATTTTATTTTTAAGAAAGTACATACAAATTTTAATAAGAGTTGAAGACAAAAAAATATTTTATTACATTAAAAAAGGTTAATCACTTACAACTCACAAAGAAAATACTTGTGTAAATTATTTTCATATCACAGGCATATAATGTATTTTCATATTAAAAGTATATAATGCCCCACTGAGAAGTAGCAAAATAATGTTTAGGAATTATAATAATTGATTCAAAGCATAATTGATGCTCATCATTCAGTTTGGTAGAAATAAGAGCTGATGGGTGCTCTAATGTGAACAAGTCTTCCGAGTCGTACAAGAAGTTTGTGGCAGCTATAAAAATTTCCCAGTACTTCACTTTTTTGATATATTTGTCTTGTCCTGCGGGATCATTGCTTCTTCCAACACTTTTAAGTGTTGAAATTTGAATACCGCTCAAGTCAGTGCTAGCTATGGGACATGCGTGATGCTGCTCTTTTCATTATCTCTTATGCACAGACTTGATCAAACCGAGTCTGCACTTTTCATGTATTTGTGTTTTGATTAATGCTTCCGAGGGATCACCTTTCCTCCAGGTTTTTATTGCTCTCACGAGGAGTCTTCAAAACAAAAAGATCGAATTTCGATAGCGCTTTTAGACGAGAGTTTGTTGTAACCTCATAACCTCATTCCCTAACACAAGAGTATGACTATACCTAAAACTGTTTCAATATAAAACAACAACTAGTTGCAATACAAATTCTGTATTTGAGTAAGCGTCTAGACAGTCAGATGAACACTTATAATATGACATACATTATTATTATTGTATAATAATACAGTAAAACTTGACTATTATGTGTTTAACAATTTTACAAAACACGAAATCATTTATAACATCATTATTTCTGATAAATATACTTAAATGAAATACCAGCAATATTACTTTATACGATTACGTCACATATATATGAAAAACTTGAAATATCATTTATACGTAATGTTGGTCCACAATATATGAAATTCTGGAAACAAACCTTGCTAAAATTTAAAATAAGCGTACAGGTCATTCTGACTGTCCAAAGCTAAAGGCTATTGAATCGATAATTTTGCACGTGCAAAAATTATACGAATAGCGACACCTAGCGGTCACTCATTACATTCAGGGAAATTAATTTTCTTCATATTCGCTACTCTCAAACAAAGAAAATTACATTTCCTTTATCCTTAAATAAGAGTATGGCTATACCTAAAACTGTTTCAATATAAAACAACAACTAGTTGCAATATAAATTCTGTATTTAAGTAAGCGTCTAAACAGTCAGATGAACCAAAAAGAATGGGCATGTATTATTTATATATTGTGGACCAACTTATATTTCAAAATGCATATTAAATGAAAATTATTAACATAACACAATGAATTAATGGAAGTGTACAAATTGTCTATAACATCATTTAAGTTCACAAGCCGAGATTTAAAGACACTGATAATTGCTCATGAACGCTGTCTTTAATGTACATATCCTTAGCACTTTCACTAACCCATACTGCTTGTCCGCTGACGCTTCTTTAATTCTGATACTTATTCAAAGCAAAGCAAAGGATCAGGTTTTTTTTTTTTGGGGGGGGGGGGGGCGGAGGGCTTTTGGTGGGTATCTTTTGTTGGTTCTTTTGTGTTGAGCACCAACACTGTACAAGTCATTTGACGACTTTTCAGCTTTACTGGTGAGTGAAGACATCAGGTGCCCCTCCGTGCATTATTTCCGGCACTTGAGAAAATCCACCGACTTTCTGTAAGATAGCTGGATAGCTTCCTGACATAAAAGAATCCAAAGTCTCATGCGGATTCGTACCAACAGCGGTAAGCGACAAGTGATTTAAAATCATTGACCTTAGCCGCTCGGCCATAAAACCCCCAAAAATTATCAGAGGCAACGTTCAAGAACTGAAATTTCTAGACAAAATTAATATCACACACAGCTACCTGCATCTTTCAACACAGAACATCAAGGGCGGTCCATGAGCTCGTTGAATAAAAGCCTTGAGCCTTTGCTACTTATACGGTCAACAAGTTCAATAAATGTAATATTTTTTCATGTATCCGAATTATACAAACCTGATTTTCGATTTATATAATATTCAGTATTAGAAAGTATTGTCGTATTTAAAAATACTCCTATGCTTGTGTTTTATTTTTGTTTAGGACAAACTTTTGAATACTACGACAGGCATTATACATAATAATTTATATCATAATGCTTTCAAATATTTTAAAAATCATTGTATATAATTGCTGCTGTAAGGTATCTTTTGTATTGTTGAACAAATTGAATTATATTGTTATATTATAAGTAAGTAACCTTTAATACCAGAATTCAGTCTATTTATTTGACGTATGGTACTAGATAGAGAAAACAATGTGTTGTGCCCGTTAGATATGCTGTTTGTCAAAATACTGTAGTCCAATGTGGTTTAAATGTTAATAATGATGATGATGATGATGACTATGATGATTTGTTACTGTCACCGACTTTCCATACGTAATAAGTACGATAACCGCTAATAGGATACAAAATGTTTTTGGCAGTAATCGGCTGGCCTGGTCCGTATATTCCCGTATACATTTTTATGTAAAATATTCCCGTATAACAGTGTATTTTGATACGGTGTTCAGGCATGGTACTTGACAGTAATTAGCTTCGCTTCAACGAAAGTAAATCATTCATCACCTAATAAGAGTTAGTCTGGGACAGAATAAACAACAACACTAAAATAGAAGGAAGGCCTTCGCATTGTTTCAATATCGTTTAATACACATCAATACTTTGTTTTCGGAAGCTGAAACAGCCTCTATCTATTATCAAGCACGTTGGTACAAAGGTGACATCTATGTGTTTTATTTATCTCGTGCGCACGAGATACTATGTCGTAGCCACGAGATACTATGCCGTGACCAGTAGTTACTTAGTCGTGGCCACGAGATAATTAAATGGTTCGCACGAGATACTATGTCGTGGCCACGAGTTTCTAAGTCGTGAGATCGAGATAACTAAGTCGTACGCACGAGGTAATTCAGCAATCAGATAACCCTATATGTATGAGTTTTTTAAACTTACAAAAATTTCTGTGTAAAGTTTTACATGCAACATTTATCTTTGAAAATACTGAAGTTATTCACTTTAAACTTAAAACATGTCTTTAGTATCATATTAGAAAGTCACTTTCCAATTAATTTTGACTAAGTTATAGCCCTGTTGTCACGTACAACGGCCTGTTATTCTTGTTTATACGATAACTTGAGAAGGAATAAGTCCTGGTTTATTTAATAATAGGGACATTACCCATGGACAGTAGATAGCCTATAAGGTTGTTTGAGGTCAAGGGTTAAGGTAACAATGACACTTCATGTAAAATTCTTGTCTGATGAATAATTTAGAAGGAATAAGCCATTGTTGCCACGGCTTAGTAACTCGTGGCCACGACATAGAATCTCGTTCCCTCGGGCCCACGACTTCGTATCTCGTTCCCTCGACCTAAATATCTCGTGGTCACGACTTAAATATCTCGTGGCCACGACATAGTATCTCGTGCGCACGAGATAAATAAAACACATACATGTCACCTTTGTGCCACCGTACATTAAGGCAATTTTTATTTCATACAAGCATTTTAAAGTATTCTTTTTTTATAAATCCAAACAAAAATTTTTGCATCAGTTAATCTTAAATCCGAACTCTGATCTTCAGTTTTATCATTGCAAAATGAAAACACGCACATTATCGTTTCATCTTTAGTTTATGGGCATCGAAATCACTTGATGGTAGA